GGGCAGAACAGATGGCATATAGTTTTTGGGTTGTGTTCACTCTATGATGCTAATGGCATCAGGTTTTGGTTGGTGCAAACATTCTGCCTCCACAACACATGTTTCCAGAAGCACCCTGGCCAGATTGGTGAGTCCCACCACCTTGAACTCTGGGAATTTGAGCCACAGCTCTGCCAGTACCCCAAGACTCAGCACTGGTCTGATGACCTGCTAATTCACTGACAGCATAGAGCTGTCTGTTGTTTTTGTGCAAGTCGGTGTGAACAAAGTTCACAATATCTTGTCAAATAGGAGCCTTGAATACAACAGGCAAAGTAACATTTTTGTCAGATGACTCCCACTTTTTGGAGTACACTGACATCAGTGAGTGAGCACACGTCATGGCGGAGAGAGGAGACAGTCATGTTCCTCTCAGCCCAGCAGCTGCCACAGGAAAAGGACTACCTGTTGTTTAATTTCCAAATATTTGTACAGTTTCCAAAATTACTCTTGTTATTGATTTCTAGTTTTATACAAATGTTGTCAGAAAACATACTTGATATGATTTTGATTAAAAATTTTTTTGACACTTGCTTTGTGGCCTAACACATGGATTTTCATGAAGAATGTACCGTGTGTTGATGAGAGGAATGTGTATTCTACAGGTATTGGATAAAATGTTTTGTAAATGCTATTTGGTCCATGTGGTCTATAGTGCAATTTAAATCTCATATTTCTTTGCTGACTTTCTGTCTGGATGATTTGTCCAATGCCAAGAGTGCAATGTCAAACTCTCCAAGTATTTTTGTACTGAAGTTTATTTCTCCATTTAGAACTAATAATATTTGCTTTACATATTTGGGTGCTTCAGTGTTGGATGGATACAAACTTATAATTGTTATATCCTCTTGCTGAATAGATCCTTTTATCACTATGTAATAACATCTTTGTCTCTTTTTACAGTTTTTTACTTAAAGTCTATTTTATCTGATATAAGAATAGCTACCCCTGCTCATTTTTGATTTTTGTTTGGGTGGAATATCTTTTTCTATTCCTCCACTTTCAGTCTGTGTATATCTTTTTAGACGAAGTGAGTTTCTTATAGGCAGCATATATTCAGGTCTTGCTTTTTTATCTATTCGGCCAGTTTATATCTTTTAATTGGGGAATTTAATCAGTTTTCATTGAAGGTTATTGATACATGAGAACTTACTCCTGTCATTTTCTTAGTTGTTTCAGGATATCTTGCATATCCTTTGTTTCTTCCTCTTTTATTGTTTATTTTTATAGTTTGGTGGTATTTTTGTAGTGACAAAAGTCGACTCCTTTTTCTTTTTTTCAAATTTCTGTATCTTTCTGCTACCGAGTTTTATGCTTTTGCATGTTTTATAATGGTAGTCATCATCCTTTTACTTCTAGATGTAGGCCTCCCTTAAGCATTTCTTGTGGGGCCAGTCTAGTGGTGATGAATTTCCTGGGTTTTTTTTTTTTTTTTTTTTTTTTTTTTTGTCTAGGAAAGACAAACTTTGCTGGGTATAGTATTCTTTGCTGTTGTTTCTCTTTTAGCACTTTGAAAATATCATCTCATTCTCTCCTGGTCTTTAAGATTTCTGCTGAAAAATCTGATGTTAGTCTAATGAGGATTCCCTCCTATGGAACTTGACATCTTTTCCTTGTGATAAATTTTACAATTCCCTTGTTGTCTTTGACTTTTGACAGTTTGACTGTAATGTTTCTTGGACAGGATCTTTTTTGGGTTGAATCTATTTGGGACCTTTAAGCTTCCTGAATCTGGATACCCATACCTTTCCCAAAACTTGAAAAGTCGTCACTTATTAATTCATTAAATAGATTTTCTATGCCTTTTTTCATTTCTTCTTTTTCTAGAATTCTTATAATGCAAGTATTTGTTCACTTAATCGTGTTCGGTTAGTCTCATAGACTTCCTTCATTATTTTTTATCCTTTATTTTTTGTCTGACTGGCTTATTTCAGAAGACCTGTCTTCACATCCGAAATCTTTCTTCTGCTTGACTTTGTTGTTGCACTCAACTGTATTTTTTATTTTATTCATTGAATTCTTCAACTCCAAAATTTTTGTTTGGGTCTTTTCATATCTAGTTCTTTGCTGAATTTGTCATTAAAATCATGAATTGTTTTCCTGATTTCATTGAATTTTTTATCTTTATTCTCTTGTATCTTGCTTAGTTTTCCTAAGATTACTATTTTGAATTCCTTTTCATGCATTTCATAGATTTTCTTTGCTTTGAAGTCTGTTACTGGAGAATTATTGTGTTCCTTTGGAGGTGTCATGTTCCCATGTTTTATGGGTCCCTACATTGAAATCATGGTGTCTGCTGAAACAGTTACCTCTTCCAATTTTATCTAGTAGATTTCATAAGGAAAGACTTTTTTTTTTTTTTTTCCTGTAAATGCATCCTATAGTATCAGTTGGGTGAAGTATTTTGGCTTTGGTTATGGGTGAGCACAGTACTGTAATCATGTAATTTTTTTTTGACTGTAATCAATGCCAGCAGTATCTGTGAGTGCCTCAGTGGCCAAGACTGGGTGTTTGTGGAGGCAGTGGTATGCCTTTACTGCAGATGGGAGCCACTGGAAAGGCTATTTCTCACGCCTTGAGGGGAGTGAGTGTTGCTAGGTGTAGCAGCTCCTTAAGTCAAGGGTGTGGCGTCACTGGTGGTGGCAGGAGCTGGGCAGCCTGGTCCCTGGTTTCTGGGGCACATGCAGTACGCAGTGGCTCTGGTGGTGAAGGGGACAAGGTTGCTTACAGTGATGGGCACTAGGCAAGTAGGTTTCAGGCCCTGGGGAGTGTATGCATTGGCTCCCCTGGTCTTGGGGACAGACAGCCTCCCCACTGTGCTGGACTGGCTGTCCCATGAGGTTTAGGGCACTGTGTGAGTTTAGGTGCTAGTGTCACATCTGTACTGCTGGGTGAAGCTGGGGTCATGGCATTGCATCTTTTTGTATGGATATGGTAGGATGACAGCAGGTCCCATGATGTGGAGGTGCAGGAGATTTGAGCACCAAGGCAGGATGCACTCAAGCAATGGCTCTGTTTTCAAAATGGCACCATGGCACAGCAGCACTGGTCCCAAAGTGATCCAGTGTGAGTTCCTTCACTGAAGTAATATAGCTGTGTTGCTTCCATGCAGTTCCCTAAACTGGCTCAAGGCCTAAGAGAATTGTGAAGTTCTGTAGTTAGAATTGCAGGTATTCATGTTAGTAATGGGGACTTCTGGGACTGCCTGCTTACCTTTCCCCTATAATAGGAAGTGTCTCTTAGTTCCAAGCCAATCCCACCTTGTCACTTTACTTCCTTCTTCATGCTGCTATCTCAAATTCCCATGTTTCAGAGGGTTTTCATCTTTTCCTTGCAGAATTCCAGTGCTCTCCCTTAGACACTCTACTCGAAGTACAGTTATTTATTTGTTGTTTTGGTTCTTCTTTGTAGAGGAGATATGCATTGGGCACCTCTAGTCAGCCATCTTGATGACATTACAACACTGGTTCATACATTCATACATACCTTCCTACATACATTATTGAATGAATGTATGAATTGCCAAGCAACATTGAAGGTGGAAACTGGAGATTTGCAGATGCATCAGTATCCCAGAGGTGTGGTTTTACTCCAGCAGTATTTAAGATGGGAGGTGGAGATCGATCTAAATCTTGGATAAATATGTTGCAAAGTGGATGCTGCCAAAGAGCAGGCTGCAAGAGGTGTGGATATCTACACGCACTCATTGATCTTAGGCAGGTATGGGGGTGAATGGAACTGGGAGCGCATAGAGATGACTAAAAGCCAGTGCAGTCCAGATGCATAAACAATACATTCCAGACACCACCCACTGATGCCAGTGGGGCTTTGGTGCACTTCTTCCCCATCGTGATCAACTGAAGACCTGAGAAGAGTTGCTCTGTGGGTGACTACTGCTGAGCAGGGAAGGGAGGAATGAGGTGAAACAGGAAAGTGGATCTAGCACATTCTAAGTAATTAGGGTAGTTTGAAATGAATAATTGTCTCTGGTTTTATGTAGGAATGGTTTTACTTATGCTCTGTTATCTAGTCATATACCAGATTAGTGATCTTATAAGAGGAGTCAGTGAGTTAAACCATCCACTGAGGAGCAAGAAGAAAATATTATCCTTCTACCATATTTTTGTTCTAAATGTAAGACTTGCATTAAACTTTATTGTGTTTAATATGTGAGTTGATATTGACATAAGTCCTGTGGCAGAAGGTCTGAGGCACAGGCCATTTGTGGTGACCCCAAAGGATGTGGAAGGCTTGGCTGTGGCACCCTCACTTATGTTATTTGCTCTTGGCATACTGTGGCCTATGGCAGCCTGCCTAAGCTGGGTTCCATGGGTTTACAGATTATATCATTTCAATTCAATGAAACTAACCTTCACAAAAAGGACATGTGGCTTAAAAAAGATCACTGCCAGGAAATCCTTGATTGATGATAATATTAATAATGCAAACACAAGTTAACAAGAAAGTCTGAGCTGATACTTCTCTAATTCCTTATTACGAGCTCTTCAATCATGCCATTAAGGCTTGAAAAATAATAAGTTCATCATATTTGCACAGTTTGGACAGCACAGGGAGGCACTGGGATGCTATATACCTGTATACCCTACCCTCAGCAGACGTCTCCTAAGTCCATCAGTGGCTATCCAATTTCATTTATAGTATAATTTGATTTATGAAGGGTGATTTATACATATCTATTATAAACTTAAATATTATAAAAATAAATTATCTCAATATGTACATTTTTGAGACAGAGTCATGCTCTGTTGCTCAGGCTGGAGTGCAACGGTGCAATCTTGTTTCACTGCAACCTCTGCCTCCCAGGTTCAAGGGATCCACCCACATTAGCCTCCCAAGTAGTTGGGACTACAGGTGCATGCCACACAGCTAATTTTTGTATTTTTTGTAGGAATGGGGTTTCGCCATGTTGCCCAAGCTAGTCTTAAACTCCTGAGCTCAAGTGATCCACCTGCTTCAGCCTCTCAAAGTGCTAGGATTACAGGTATGAGCCACCACATCCAGCTTTGATGTAAATTTTAAAATTATAATTACAAGATTAAAATAATTTATCTCCAAATGTTATTTTAGGTTCAAGGGTGCATGTGCAGTTTTGTTACATCAGTAAATTGTGCATCATGTGGTTTTGGTGTACAGATTATTTCATCATGGTAGACAGTTTTGAGCATAGTACCGCATAGGCAGTTTTTCGAACCTCATCCTCCTCTGACCCTCCTCTCTCAATTAGGCCCTGGTGTTTATTGTTCCGTTCTTTGTGACCATGTGTACTCAATGTTTAGCTCCCTCTTATAAGTGGGAACATGTGGTGTATGGTTTTCAGTTACAGGATTTTTACATGAAACTTATTACATGAATAAAGAACAAAATTATAAATCTTACAGTGAATAGAAGCTTTTCACTTTCATTTACCTTTCTAATTCAATAACTAACACAATGGCAGGAGGATAGGGTGGCAGAGAAAGATGGAAACAGTGGCAATTTTGACTTAAGAAAGTTCTGAGAATAGTTGCACAGGTCTGATGATGCAATTTCTCTGAGTGTGGATGACTTTCCAAATTCCATTCCATTTTTGCTGTGAATGGTAACAATGCTTTATAGGGATGTCCCAAGCAAAGAAGCTAATGGTTAACATTGATTTCAAAAAAATAAATTGTCATCTTGATTTCAACTCTATTCTGGGTAAACCTAGCACCTGAGAGAATCTACTCGTATTTTATGATATGTATACTTTTGCATCTAAGATAAAATAAAAGTATGGAATTAAAAAATATTTACAGTTTATTCAGAGGAGTAATAAGGATTTTTAAATAACGTAAATCTCTATTTTCTATAAAAAGTACTGTTACTGAGAATTTATATTATATCTTCTTTATGTAGAACTTTTGAGGTGGAAGAGAGCTTAGGTGAGGCGACTGAAGCCTTGGGAAGTTTAGTGTGTTGCACTAAAAAACCATAGGCTTGAAGGTAGATAGGACTGAATTTGATTTCTTTTTTTTTTTAAACCACCCACTAGCTATGCGATGTTAGGTAAGTGAATGAACTTCTTTGAGTCACAGTTTATCATTCTGGGGAATGTGCATAACATCTGCCTCACAGTTTGCCTGGTGCATATAGGCCCTCACAAGTCCTGGTCACCTTGCCCTTGCCTAAAGTCACAGGATTTTGTGGCTGACAGGCAGGGCTGGAAATATAATTCGTGTTTATTTCTGTCATTCCACACTGATTGGATTGCTTCCAAGGAAAGGGAGAATCTTCCCTCCATAGAATTTTAATGCTTTACTCCCCATAAGTTTTATTGTGTGTTTGCAAAATATTTATTTCTAGTAATAAGGTGGACTTTGTTCTATTTTCCCTCCTAGGCATGCTGAAGAGATGAAACATTCCACCTCTTTCCCACCAGCGTGCTGTGTTTTCTGTTAGAATGAGCATAGATTGTAGCATCAGTGTGGTCCTGAGCAGTATTCTTGCCACAAGAATAGAAAAGCAAGTCATTGGTGCCTTCTCTGAGTACAGCAGCTCAGGAGTGGACCATGGAATCACTTTTTGTGAGAGTATCCCCTTGTCCTTTCACCTCATGCTCTAAAGACTAGACTGGCCTGAGTTGGCTTGTAACCCCTGGGAAGCATGGGAAATTGGCTGGCAGTTCTGTGATGCTAACGGCAGGGAAGGAAAAGGATTTTGATAGGACTGTGATGCAATTTGTTTCTTCAGGATAAACTTCAACAGTACTGCCAATGTGGAAAATGAACAAGCAGCTATCACAACTTTACCCTCCTCTGAAACTAAGGAGGGCAGAAATGACCCAAGTGCTGGTTGTCACATGTTGGGTGTGTGTGTGTGTGTGTGTGTGTGTGTGTGTGTGTGTGTGCGCCTGTGTGTATGTAAAATCATTCAAGGATACTATGACTCAAGGAAAGAGCATCAGAACTAGAGGAAATAAAGTTTTCTTGGGGCACTCATGTCCCAAATTCTTATGAATTTTTAGATTTAAAATAATAATTGGTATCTGGGGACAAAAAATAATTACCGGCACTTAGCAGGGACCACCATTAACATAGAAGAACAATGTTAATTGGTATGTGTAAGAGTACTTGAACAGATAATTGAATTAAAGCTCTGTGGGATTATTTATAAAAAAAGAGAGGACCAGTCCTGCAGACATGATTTTGTGACTTGGATTTCAGGGCCAAATCTGCTCCTACAAAGACTCTGGTCTTTATTGATGGGAGCAGCAATAGTGAAAAGGCAAAAAGTAAAAACAAATTGTGGTTAGTAAGCATACTAATTTTATAGTTTTTGGTTGACCACATTTTCTCAGGTTCATTCATTCAACAAATATATATATAATTTACATATATTACATATTTATATTAATGTGCATATTTATATTTAACATTTATATTATATTTAATGTACTTATATTTAATGTAATTATATTAAGATACATTTACTTCCTATATAACAATACATTATATATTTAAATAATATTCATATCAAATATTTAAATATAAATAATATATATTTATTATTTAAATAATACATATTATATATAATATACATATAATTAAATAGACTATTTTTAAGAATAGTTTTAGGTTCACAGCAAAACTGAGTAGGAGAAACAGAATTTCTGTAGCTCTTCTGCCCCCACACAGGCATAGCTTCCCTTATTCCCATCAGAGTGGTATATTTGTTTTAATTGATGAACCTATATTGACATATTATTACCCAAAGTTCATAGTTTACATTAGGATTCACTCTTGATATTGTACATTCAATGGGTTTTCACAAAGTCATAATGACATGTGTCCATCATTATAGTATCATATAAAATAGTTTCATTGCTCGAAAAATCCTCTGTGCTCTGACTATTCATCCCCCCCGGCCCTTAACTCCTGGCAACCACTGATGTTTTTACGTATTCATAGTTTTGCTTTGTCTAGAATGTCATATAGTTGTAATCATGCAGTATGTAGCCTTTTTATATTGGCTTCTGTTATTTAGTAGTATTCATTTAAGTTTTTCTATGCCTTTCATAGCTTGATAGCTCCTCTTTAGCACTGGATAATATTCCGTACTCTGAATATACTACAGTCCTATTAAAAATTATTTATCTTCCTTGCCCTTAGCATGACTGAGAACTGCCAGCCAGCTTCCCATCCTTTCCAGAGGCTACAAGTCAACCCAGGCCAGCGCAGCCTTAAGAGTGCGGGGTGGAAGGACAAGAGGGGTGCTCTCACAAAAGGTGATTCCGTGGTCCACTCCTGAGCTGCTGATCTCAGAGAAGGCACCAATAACTTCCTTTACTTGCAGCAAGAATACTGCTCAGAACCACAACGATGCTATAAATCTACCACAGCTAAAATCTATGCTATTTCTAACAGAAAGCACAGCAGGTTGGTGGGGAAGAGGTTGAATGTTTCACTTCTTCAGCCTGCCTAGGAGGGCAAGTGGAACAAATCTTGGGTTTGGAACATCTATTAAAAGATATTCTTACTTTGTAGCATTCATATTCTTACCTTCCTTTAGGTTTCTTGAAGAAGTTATGTCATTTTCTTTATGTAGAAGTCAAATATTTGTACATTTAAAATACATTTGGTCACAATTAATATTGAAATCAGCATCTCCAAGTGTTTAAAAGAGTTTAACAGCTGTACGGTCATCTGAACCCAGAGATTTTTAAAAAAAATTATTTGACACCTTATCCAATTTAATTTTTGGTTACTTACCTTGTCACATGTTTTAGTTTTTCTTGTGATAACTTTTAAAACTTAAATTTTAAGTACATTAATATGAAAGGGTAGTCGGACAGCTTTTTGATCTTTTCTGTATATGTTCTTACATCTTTTTCTCTCAATTGTGTTTATGTTTTCTCCTACTTCGTGTAGAGGAACTTCATTATTGAACATCCAATACTTTATTTAATGTCTCATTTAGAGTCTACATTTATATTTTCCATAAATAGGAATGTTTGTGTTTTGCAGCTTTGGCATTTGTAAAGATTTCTGTATTTAGTTTCTTTTCTCCCTCCAGATTGTGACTTTGTAGAAGTGGGAGCCACTCTGGCTTGCTCACTGTGATACTAGAATGCACAGGACAGTGCCCGGCATCTAACTCCCCAGAACAGGGCCAGGACTCAGCCCATAGGCCTGTTTACACACATGGTTTGAGCTTGCAGATTTAAAATAAGCAAGGAGGCCATAATCAGTGGACTTAAACTGATTAAAACAAGAAAAATTTAAAAACAGACAATACAGAAGCAAGAATGAAATGAAATTTATCTACAATTAATATGACTAATATATTAGTGAACAAAAGACTGTAAGTTTTTAAAGAAATAATGTACTAATCATGAAAATAGTGAATTAGAAAATAGTAGAAAAAAGTAGAATTAATTTATAATGCTAACATATTATTCTGAGAAGCAACAACAACAACAAAACCCTTTAAGAGTGATGGATGTAATGATATAATGGTGCTGACTAGTCTTTGCTGATTATGTTCTTTTCCTGTCCTGCCTACACCTACACCCTTTGGAATTGGTTGTGAGTTGCTCGGGGCTGTGTAGGAGGGGCTAGAATTGGAAAAAGTTTGTGCAGTGATCTGCTGTAGAAAGGTATTTCTTATGACTTTGTTAAGTTTAGGTAAAAAAATTGAGGCAGACTTGAAATACTGTCATGCCAAAGAATCTCGTGGCTGTACAAGGACAATGTTTCCTAAAGTACTATAGGTTAGAGCAAGGGTTTGCCTTTTACAAATGCTATTTTAGGACTCCGAAGCCATGACTCCTGTAAAGGATCACCCTTCTCTAGTCTTCATCACAGCCATTCTAAGGCTCATTAAATTAAAATACAATAACTACATCTGTTGCTTATGATCAGGCCCCCTTGCTCATTCAATATCTGCATCTCATTAGCTAAAACCTAAGGTAGGCTTCCTTACACTCAATTATTTAACAAATACACGTTATATACATTATCAGCTGTGGATATTTACATTTTGTGTTGTTTCTCCTAAATATGTATCTATTTGCTTGAGTGGTTTTTCTTTCTTCATTAGATCAGAGCAAGCCAAGGGCTGTGACCTTAGAGGTTACTTATTTTCTAATATCCTTACAGAACTTTTAAGCAGTACATGTAAATGTAATTGAAAAACTAAAATAATACAATAATTTATAAAACATAAAACTACATAAAACTAAAATCAAAATCCTGTTTATCACCAGCTCAAATATGGCTTATAAAAATGAGGTTACAGTGTTATGTTGTTTTCACCTGACAATGTTTTTTGGACCTCCTTTTTATTTCATCATTATTATTTGAATAGGCACTGGAAAAACATGATAAAAATTTAGAAGGTATAGAATTACATCACTTTAAAAGTAAGCCACCTGGTTCTTTTATTCCGAGACAATCATTGTGATTTGTTTCTTGGGTAATGAATATGCATATATAAGTTTATGTATTCCTTTTGTTCCTTACACATTTTAGCATACTATACACATAGCGTATTACTGTTTTCACTTATTGATATCTTTTGGAATTGAAAATGTGAGGGAGTTTTACTCTTCTAGACAAATGTGGTAGACTTCAAAAAGAAGCTCACCTTGGAGAACTTAAAACTGAGTGATTGCTTAAAGCTTTCATATTAGACTGGTCTGGAAGTTTGTAGCACCTGGAGAATAAATCTGTATATGAATACTTGAGAGTGACTAGAAAATCTCTGAGAGTTGTCTGAGATTTTTATCTAAGTTCTAGCTGACAGGATGTATTTGAAGGGTCGTTGGTGCAAAAGAACAACCTGATTTCTACTCGTACCATACAATAGCCAGCTAAAGAGATAGTTTCATTTGTCAATAAATTCTTTGTTATGGACTATTTGTTTCCAGATTTTTACTCTCACAAACAATGCATAGGTAACTACCCTTTTAGGGAACAATTTTGCCAAAGTGTATTTTCAGGTAAATTCCTAGAATTAGATTACTGGGTTGAAGGGCATTTTTCTGAACAAATCTTGCTAAAAAATTTTTTTTTTTAATTTCAACTTTTATTTTACATACAGGGGAAACATATGCATGTTTGTTACATGGATATATTGCACCCAGATAGTAAGCATAGTACTGAATAGGTAGTTTTTCAAACCAAATGGATCCTTCCCCTCTGCCCTGCCATAATAGTTTGCAGTGTCTGTTGCTACCATTTTTATGTCCACGTGTGCTCAATGTTGAGCTCCCATTTATAAGTGAGAATATGTGGTATTTGGTTTTCTGTTCTTGCATTAGTTTACTTAGGATAATGGCCTCCAGCTCCATTCATATTGATGCAAAGGACATGATTTCATTCTTTTTATGGCTGTATAGTATTCCATAGTGTATATGTAACACATTTTCTTTATTCAATTGACCATTGATGGGCACCTAGGTTGATTCCATGTTTTTGCTATTGTGAATAGCATGGTGATGAACATCAGTGTGCATGTGTCTTTTTGGTCTAAGGATCTATTGTCCTTCAGATATATACCCAGTAATGGGATTTCTGGATCGAATACTAGTTCTGTTTTGAGTTATTTGAGAAATCTCCAAATCGCTTTCCACAGTGGCTGAACTAATTTACATTCCCACCAACAGTGTATAAGTGTTTCCTTTTCTCCACAGCCTCACCAGCATCTGTTGTTTTTTGACTTTTTAATAATAGCCATTCTGACTGGTGTGAGATGGTATCTCACTGTGCATTCTCTGATGATTAGTGATGATGAGCATTTTTTCATGTTTGTTGGCTGCATGTATGTTTTTGAGAAGTGTCTGTCTGTTTTTAATTTTGTTTTGTTTTTAGATGGAGTTTTACTCTGTCACCCAGGCTGGAGTGCAGTGGCATGAGCTTGGCTCACTACAACCTCTGCCTCCCAGCTTCAAGGGATTTTTCTGCCTCAGCCTCCCCAGTAGGTGGAATTACAGGTGCATGCCACCACACCCAGCTAATGTTTGTATTTTTAGTAGAGATGGGGTTTTGCTATGTTGGCCAGGCTATTCTTGAACTCTTGACCTCAAGTGATCCATCCACCTCAGCCTCCCAAAGTGCTGGGATTATAGGTGTGAAGCACCGTGTCCAACCACAAAGTGTCTGTCTTTTGAGAAGTGCCTGTTCACATCTCTTGACTATTTTTAAATGAGATTCTTTGTTTTATGCTTGTTTACTTAAGTTCTTTATAGATGGATATTAGACCTTTGTCATCCACAGTTTGTAAATATTTCCTCCCATTCTGTATATTGTCTACTTATTCTATTGATAGTTTTTTTTTTTTTTTGCTGTGCAAAAGCTCTTTAGTTTAATTAGGTCCCACTTTTCAATTTTTGTTTTTGTTGCAATTGCTTTTAGGGACTTAGTCATAAATTCTTTGCCGAGGCCAGTATTGCTAAGGGTATTTCCTGAATTTTCTTCTAGGATTCTTAGAGTTTGAGATCTTACATTTAAATTTTTAATCCATCTTGAGTTAAATTTTTGTATATGGTGAAAGGTAAGGTCCAGTTTTATTCTTCTGCATATGGCTAGCCAGTTATCCGAGCATCGTGTATTGAAAAGGGACTCCTTTTCTCATTGCTTATTCTTGTTGGTCTTGTTGAAGATCAGATGGTGGTGTGTGGCTTTATTTCTGGGTTTTCTATTCTGTTCCATTGCTCTATGTGTCTGTTTTTGTACCAGTATCATGCTGTTTAAGTTACCATAGTTTTATAGTATAGTTTAAAATCAGGTAATGTGATACTTCTTTTTTTTTTTTTTTTTGCTTAGAATTGCTTTGGCTATTCAGGCTCTTTGTTGGTTACATATGAATTTTAGTATAGTTTTTACCGATTCTTTGAAGAATGGCATTGGTGATTTGAGAGGAATACTGCTGAATCTGTAAATTGCTTTGGGTAATATGGCCATTTTAATGATTTTGAGTGTTCCAATCCCTGAACATGAAAGGTTTTTCCATTTATTTTTGTCATCTCTGATTTCTTTTAGCAATGTTATATGGTTCTTCTTGTAGAGATCTTTCACCTCCTTGGATAGCTATATTCAAGGGTATTTCATTTTCATTGTGGCTATTGTAAATGGGATTGCATTTTTTATTTGACTTTCAGCTTAGACATTATTGGTGTATAGAAATGCCACTGATTTTTGTACATTGATTTTGTATACTGAAATCTTATTGAAATTGTTTATCAGTTCTAGTAGTCTTTTGGCAGTCTTTAGGGTTTTCTAGGTATAGAATTATATTTCAGCAAAGAGAGGTAGTTTGACTTCTTCTTTTCCTATTTAGATCCTTTTATTTCTTTCTCTCACCTGATTGCTCTGGCTAGGACTTTCAGTACCATGTTGAATAGGAATGGTGAGAATGGCCATCCTTGTTTTGTTTTAATTCTCGAGGGGAATGGTTCCAGCTTTTGCCCATTCAGTGTGATGTTGGCTGTGAGTTCATCATAGATGGTTCTTATTATTTTGAGTCATGTTTCTTTGATGTCTAATCTGTTGAGGGTTTTTATCATGAAGGGATATTCAATTTTATCAAAAGCTTTTTCTGCATGTATTGAGATAATCATATGGTTTTTTATTCTAATTCTGTTGCTGTGGTGAATCACATTTGTTGATTTGCATATGTTGAACCAATCTTGAATCCCATGAATAAAGCCTACTTGATTGTGGCGTAGCAACTTTTGATGTACTGTTGAATTCCATTTGCTAGTATTTTGTTGAGAAATTTTGCATCTATGTTCATCAGGCATATTGGCTGGAAGTTTTCTTTTTTCACTGTGTCTCTGCCAGATTTTAGTATTAGGCTGATGCTGGCTTCATAGAATGAATTAGGAAGGAACCCCACCCCTCTTAAATTGTTTGGCATACTTTCAGTAGGAGTGATACCAGTTTCTCTTTGTGTGTCTGGTAGAATTCAGCTGTGAATTCATCTGGTCCAGGGCTTTTTATAGTTGGTAGGATTTTTAAATTACTGATTTCATTTCAGAGCTTGATATTGGTGTATTCAGGGTCTCAATCCCTTCTTGATTCAATTTTGAGAGATTGTGTATTTCCAGAAATTTATCCATCTCCTCTAGATTTTCTAATTTTTATGCATAGAGTTGTTCAGAGTATTCTTTGAGGTTCTTTTGTAAATTCTGTGGGATCGGTTGGAATGGCATCTTTGTCATTTCTGATTGAACTTACTTAGATCTCTCTTTTTTTGTTTGTTAATCTAGCTGGGGGGTGTATTAATCTTTTTTTTTTTTTTTTTTTTTTTAAGAAGAAACTCTCGGTTTCCTTGATCTTTTGGGGTTGGTTTGTTCCTTTTTTCTTTCTTCCTTTAGGTGCAAAGTTAGATTGTTAATTCAACTTCCTGCCTTCTTGATGAAGGAGTTTAATGTTAATCCAACTTCCTGCCTTCTTGATGAAGGAGTTTAATGTTAATCCAACTTCCTGCCTTCTTGATGAAGGAGTTAAATGTTATAAACTTTCCTCTAAACATTGCTTTAGTTGTATCTCAGAGATTTTGACATGTTGTATTCCTATTTTTATTAATTTCATATAATTTTTTGATTTCTGCCTTAATTTTTATTTTCACCCAGGAGTTAGTCAAGACCATGATGTTTAATTTCCATGTTTTTGTGTAGTTTTGAGAGATATTCTTGGTATGAATTTCTATTTTTATTTGCACTGCTGTCTGAGAATGTGCTTAGTATGATTTCAATTTTTTAAAATGTATTGAGACTTGCTTTATGACCAATCAAGTTGTTGATCTTAGAATATGTTCCATGTGCAGATAAAAAGAATGCATTTTCTGTGATTGCTGTGTGGAGTGGTCTATAGATGTTTATAGGTCCAGTTAATCAAGTGTTGAGTTTAAGTCCAGAGTTTCTTTGTTAGCTTTCTGCTTCAGTGCTTGGTCTAATGCTGTCAGTGAAGTATCGAAGTGGCCCACTATTACTGTGTGGTTGACTAAGTCTGTTTGTAGGCCAAGAATAACTTGTTTTACAAATCTTGGTGCACGAATGTTGGGTGTGTACTTATGATAGTTAAGTCTTCTTGTTGGATTGTACTCTTTACCATTATGTAATGCCCTTCTTTGTCCTTTTTAATTTTTATTGGTTTAAAATTTGTTTTATCTGATATGAGAATAGTGACTCCTGCTCGTTTTTGTTTTTCATTTACGTGATATATCTTTCTCCATCCCTTTAGTTTAAGTCTGTGGGCTGAGATTATATGTGCGTGGCATTGCATGTGAGATGGGTCTCTTGAAAACAACAGATGGTTGCATTTTATATTTTTATCCAGCTTGCTACTTTATGCCTTTTAAGTGTGGTGCTTAGCCCATTTATATTTAGTGTTAGTATTGATATGTGAGATTTTAATCCTGTCATCATTATGTTAGCTGGTTGTTGTATATATTTGATTGTGATTGCTTTATAGTCTCCTTGGGGTGTGTGCTTAAGTGTGTTTATGTGCTAGCAGGTGCTGTCCTTTCAATTCCATGTTTAGCACTCCCTTAAGGACCTCTTGTAAGGCTGGTCTAGTTGAAATGAATTCCCTGGGCATTTGCTTGTCTGAGAAGGATTTTATTTCTCCTTCACTTATGAAGCTTAGTTTGGTGGGATATGAAATTCTTGGTTGGGATTTCTTTTCTTTAAGGAAACTAAAAATAGAAGGAAACCTCTTCTGGCTTGTAAGGTTTCTGGTGAGAAGTCTGCTGTTAGTATACAGACTGCTACAGATGGGGCTCCTTCCATATGTGACTTGATCCATCTATCTGCCTTTAAGATTTTTGTTTGTTTGTTTGTTTTGTTTTTTGTTTTGCATTGAGTTTGGTGAATCTGATGACTAAGTGCCTTGGGGATGGTCATATTGTA